TATCTCAGTGGCCCTGTCAATGGCAAACCCATCACTCATTCTGTGTGTGTGTGTGTGTGTGTGTGTGTGTGTGTGTGTGTGTGTGTGTGTGTGTGTGTGTGTGTGTGGATACGACGATAGATACCTATGTGTGCGTCTTTGTCTGTGTGTGGGCCATTGTTTACAATCACTGTCATGCACTGCCACATGTCAACGTAACAAGAAAGAGAGGTGTTGGCAGTACGCTAACAAACTCTGTGTTGCAGACCTGATGATATGTGATGGTGTATGTGTTGAGGTTACTGCTCCCTTCATGCCATAGAAGTGCCATAGATTTCCGGAGCCCCCTCACCCCTGCCCCACATGTCCACTCAAAACAAAATGAAACATTGCGTTCATTTTCTCGTCTCTCACCTCCACTGGTGAGTTAATGAAATCAAACCCTGCGCCTCTCAGTAGAGAGCCACCGTAAGCGGCGCTCCATAGCCAGAATCAAGGGACGATGCTGTCTAATAATCATGAGCAGGCCAGGGGGTGTGCTATATGGCTCCACCTCAACCTACCATGAATAAGGCCAGCGGTGAAGATGGAGTGTCCATGTGGGCCATGGGGTCCAGGTACCGGCCCGGGGAAGCATTGATTTAATTGCCTTTGGTTTATTTGTGGAGTCCTAATTATTGACTGGAGGTAGAATTTAATGGACCAAGTCTTTATGAAGACAGGGAAATGACTGCCTTCTGCTGCTGGCCAATAATGAACAGGAGCAGCATGTGCATGCAAGCGTGTGCACATGCACACAAGCACACACGTTCCCTCCAGATCATTTTTCAGACTCATTTTGTATACACACACACCTATCTGAAGCCTCATGACAGCATAATAACATTTAAAAAGTCATTGACTCTGTTGATTTCTTTATGAGAGGACAGTGGTTTGGTTTACTGGTATGGGGTGGCGCTGAGGGCCTGCTAATATTTACCTCACAATCACACCCAAGGGAGACGTACAAGCATCACTTCTTATCAGCCTCCGAGCTATAACAAGCAGGTGAACATTACATTAAGACAGTGGTAGAGACAAGCCAGACCAATCAGGACTGGACTTGTTATAAAACATCAAAGGCGTTTATGGGTGGTCTCTAAGGCTGAAATAATTCCTGTAATTTCAAACCTGTATCAAACTTTCGGGAGGGTTTCCTGTAGCCCATTTCTACAGTGGTAAATAGCATTAAATAGCACTTTTTTCATGTCACTTCTTATAAAGGCTTCACACTATATTGGTATTTCTATGAGGTGTTACATCATTAACCCTTGGTTTTAAAAAATATCTATGGCTCTGTTTCCATGCACTCTGAAACTTTTCTGTTGTTGGTGGTGCTGTGAGAGTGAGGAGCAGTGTGTTGTGTTGTGTGGCTCATTATGCCTCTGTAATGACAAGGAACAGCCCTTAGTCCCACACTTCTCTCTGAAGGAAAGTGGCTCTAATTAAGCTCCAATTAATGACTGAGCTAATTAAATCAGACACTCTTTTTGGTCCCTGTAAGTATGTTTGTATGTG